TCCTCCTCCTCCTCCTCCTCCTCCCTGTCCATCATCCACGTCCCAGGGCTCCAGTGCCCCCCTCCTTCTCTTCCTCCCTCTCCATCCTCACCCCGCCCAGGCCTGCAGCTCCCCCTTAGGGCGCCAAGCCCTCAGCTCCTCTCTTCTCCCCTCCTCCCCGCCTCCACTTTCGCTGATACCCCCTCCCCCATCCCCTGGCTCCGCCCCATTTCCCCACCCGCGCATGCCTACTCGCGCAGATCTCCCTTGTGGAGTGCCCCCCTCCTTCTCTTCCTCCCTCTCCATCCTCACCCCGCCCAGGCCTGCAGCTCCCCCTTAGGGCGCCAAGCCCTCAGCTCCTCTCTTCTCCCCTCCTCCCCGCCTCCACTTTCGCTGATACCCCCTCCCCCATCCCCTGGCTCCGCCCCATTTCCCCACCCGCGCATGCCTACTCGCGCAGATCTCCCTTGTGGTGGTGGCGCTGGTGGCGGCAGCACGCCTTGCACGAGGTAGCAGCCATCAGGCTTCGATTTGGCGGTGAGAGTCGGGACCCCTCAGACTCCAGGGGAGCACGGAGGTGTGGGCATGGGTGGGGCATAGCCAGGGCATGGGTGTGGCGGGGTGGGGCGCGGGTGCGGGAGGCAGGCGTGGAGCCAAGAGGGCGCAGGTGCTTGGCGTCTCTGCTGCCTAAGGCTGAGGTCTGGATCCGTCGTTGTCCTCCAGGCCCAGAACAGCCTCGCGCACAGCCGCGCACGGTGGAAAGCCTGCCCGGGGCTCTGCACTGACCCGGGGCTGCCACCGCCCCCACCCCCCTGTGCCATGCCAGTGCGGACCGTGCACCAGCTCTCAGCCTGCTCGGGCTTTAGAATGCGGAACCAGCCCTGTGTAGCCTAAATCTGAGGGGGAGTCGGTGTAGACAGACCCTGTGAGCCCCCAGAGCCTTTTTTTTCTGGCGTGGAACTGGCAGTGATCCCCCTGCCTCAGCCTCCTAAGTGCTAGCCCAGAGCCTCTGGACCTCGGTCAAAGCTCGTGCCGCTAGGCCTCAGCACTCTGCACCCTAAAAAAATCGCATGTTCTCTTTCAGTCAGGCGACATCACAATGGCAGCCACTAAGGACCCTTCTGAGCAGTTCACCCAAATCAAGGAGCAAAAATTGAAGCTTGGGGGCCCGCAGGAGGAAGAAGGGGAGGGTGGGGTGCAAGGCGGGCAGATCCAGGAGGGTGCTGTCGAAGCTTTGGCCGAGAACAGCCACCAGCCTTTAGATGCCAGAATCCAGAAAGAACAGCTTGAGCTGCTGTGGGCCTCCGTGGAGAGCGACAGTCAGATCCTGACCCTGCAGACCGTGCCCCTGCCCTCCCAGGAGGTGCACATGCCGGGGCTGGGATGGCTGAGTGTGCCGGACCCCGAGTCTCTGCAGGTAGTGGTGCCACAGGCGACGGAGCCACAGGCGGAGGGCGCACCGCCGCTCCCATCCGTGTTGTGGCTGAACCAGGAGCCCCAGTGCAGCATACAGCAGAACGTGGCCTTCAGCGTCCCAGAGGAGCTGTACCTGCCCGAGGAGGAGCTGCCATGGTTCCACCTGCTGAGGGAGAACATGACAGTGGTTGGGGAGGACCAAGCGTTAACACCAAACCTGGGTGGTAGCTCGGCGCTGATGAAGGTACCTCTCCTCCATACACATTGCCTTGCACAAGAAGGGAAATAAAACTAGCTTTTTAGACGTAGGCTTTAGGGAATGTTATGTGTGGAGTTTTAATATAAGGTATTTTGCAGTTTAAGAATAAACACAGGGGCTGGAGAGATGGCTCAGCAGTTAAGAGCGCTTGCTACTCTTCCAGAGGACCTGGGTTCGAATCCCAGCATCCACGTGGCAGCCAACAACCATTGGTAACTCCAGTTCCAGGAGATCCAATACCCTCTTCTGGCTCTATTGGCATTGCATGACACGGGTGCGCTTACACACATGCAGGCCAAACACTCATGCACACAGTTTAAAAATAATATAAAAATAAACACAGTAAAAATACTGGAAAAATAATGGAAGACCTTACTTTTTCTGTATAAAGAGGGTTTTTTGTTTGTTGTTTGTTTAGGGGGGGGTGTTTACTTTTGTTTTGTTGAGACAGGGTCTTCCTGTAGCCCCAGCTGGCCTGGAACCCACTGTGTAGGCCAGGCTGGCCTCAAACTCAGCGATCTGCCCTCCTCTACCTCCCAAGTGCAAGGACTAATGGGTGTGTGCCACCGTGCCTGACTGTATAAAGAGTTTTAAAAGTTAAACTAAACTGAAATACTTTTAATATAAAATACATTGTGTTTTCAAAGAAAAGTTATGGGCTGGGGATGTAGCTTGGTTGGTAGACAGCTTACCTAGCATGCATGAAGCCTGAGTTTGAGCTCCAGCACCTGGCATTCAGGAAGTGAAGGCAGGAGGATCAGAAGTTCAAGTTCATCCTCAGCTATATACTCAATTTGAGGCCAGTCTGGGCTGCATGAGACATTGTCTCAAAAACAAACAAACAAACCAAACCCCCAAAGACAGCAACAACAAAGAAAGATCATTTTACTACCAAAACTTTGATGCTGAATGGTTGCCTAATAGGCATTTAGTTGTCATATGTGATCGTTCATGTTTGCTTTTCTGTTTTCAATAGTCTGCCGGAACAAAGACTTTGATCTGATTACAAGTAACATGCTGCCTTTGATTGCTTACTTTCCCTGATCAGTTCGAAGAAGGCCAGGAGAACCAGTGGCTGTCTGAGGGAGGACTGAACCAAGGAGAGGAGTGCTGCTTCCTTGTGGAAATGATGCCAAGAGATGAAGGGAAAGAGGACGTTGTTCTGGCCATTTCCAGTGTAAACGTAGAAGAGCAAGATAAACCCGCCCCAAGTCAGGCAGACGTGGAGAACACTGATGCTGTAAAAACTCAGAGAAAGGGTAGGCTTTCCAGCTTACATAAGAGGCTGTGAAACCACCCGTTGTTTGTGAGAAGGTAGCAATAATTGAAGCTTTAAGTGGCTGACTTTTTAAAAAGTTCTTTTCAAAACATCAGAAAATGGGAGAAATTTTAAAGTAATGTACTATATTATAAATCAAATCCAAAAAAGTTTTTTTTTTTTCACACAGACCTTTTAAAAGCAGTAAAAAATGTTCCAGAAAGCACTGTGCACACAAATAGTAGGTTAGGCCCTGTGTTCTGCTGTCTGCTTTGCAGCTCCTTGGGAGCATTAGGAGGGGGCAGGTAATTACAGGACAGGGTAGTGAACCCTGCCCCAGGCAGGCAAGAGCAAGAACTTAACCTAAGCAAAGAGTCCTTCCTGTAGAAGTCTGGGTCTTAGAAGGAGGGCCAAGTGAGGCTGGGGGCTAAGGAAGGGAGATGGAGCCAGGCTGGCAGCCAGGAAAAGCAGAGTGAAGCTGGGGGATAAGAAGGACAAAGCCAGCCTAAGAGCTGTAATCAAAGGTCCAGACAGTAGGAAGTGTGGCCTTCATTTGTGGACATCCACAGCTCTGTCTGGGAACAGCAGGGATGGGCATTCAGAGTCACCAGGCAAGCTCCTCAGAGGGCCTCTGAGGCTCTACGGAGGCCCTTTCAGAACATCCAGCAGCCCACAGGAAGAATTTGGCCCACAGTGATTTAAAGAACACCTTGTTTTAAAGTCATTTTTCACTGACCTCTCACCCCAATATCTCAGTTTCTAGCTGACTGTTTAAAAGTCTTGTCTGGCTAGGGGTTCAACACTTTCCCATCATGCACGAGATCTTAGGTTCCACCCCCAATACATCAAGAAGAGAAAAATCAAACACTAAAAAGTCATTCTGTGACAATGCTCAAATGGTTCTTTGCCAGGGAGAGCAGGGAGGTGACTCCCTTCACAAAGGCAGCTTGTGGCCTTCCTGCCAGCATCTCCTTCTTCTTCAGTGTGGCTGGCCTTTCCTGCAGGTTGGCTGCTCTGGCTTCTTGTCTATGTGGCAGCTTTTGTCAATCAGGAGGCTGCAGCCCCAAATTTCCAGTCCTAGTTCATTCTCATAAAATATATATTTTAATATATTTGCAATCCTCTGTGGCCATCACTACTCTGATTCAAAGACATACCTGTCACCCAAAAAAGAAACTTCTTCATGCTATTTAGTGACTCCGCACCCCTGGCTTCCACCACCTACTTTTTTGGTCCTAGGCATATGGAATAACACATATAGAGCATGTGGCCTTCTGCTCTTTATTCTCTCATTTAATATAATTCCAGGGTTCATCAATATTGTAGCAGGTATTAGCACCTCCTTTTTAACAACTGGCTAATATTCTGTTGTATGGACATACCACATTTATTTATCCATTCATCCTTTGCTGGACATTGAGGTTGTTTCCACCTTTTAGGTGTTGCCATGGCTAACTATTCAGTTTAGGGGAAGGTCTATATTTAGGAGTGGAATGGCTGAGCTGTATCTTTGCTGCATGTTTAATGTGTGTGTGTGTGTAAGTGTATGTGTATGTATATGTGTGTGCTCATGCATGTGAAGACCAGATGAGGAGGCCACAGGTGTCCTGTTCTACCACTCTGCCTCATTCCCTTGGGACTGTGTCTCTCATTGAACCTGAAGCCAGGCTGGTCCCCTGCAAGCCCCCGCCATCCTCCTGCCTCCACCCCCACAGTGCTTGCATTACAGGCATGTGTGGGTGCTTTTTAAATGGGTGCTGGGGGGTGGTGGAGAGATGGCTCAGCAGTTAAGAGCACTGACTATTCCTGTAGAGGACCCAGATTTGATTCCCAGCATCCACATGGTGGCTAACAATTGTCTGTAACTCCAGTTCCAGGAGATCCAACGCCTTCTTCTGACCTCCACAGGCATTGCAGCCCCAATTCTTGGATTTTTTTTTTCTTCACATTAGAAGGATAGTTTGGCCAGGCGTGCACCACCACACCTGGCTTCTTTTTAATTTTTTAAATTTATTTGTGTGTGTGTGTGTGTGTGTGTGTGTGTGTGTGTGTGTCGAGGCACACATGTAGGTCCTGGGGATTGAACTTGGGTCATTCTGTTTGGTGGCAGGCACCTTTACCCACTGAGCCATCTCGCTGGTCCCCAGAACAGTATTTTGAGTATTCCATTCTGCCACCTCTGGCTTCCATGGCCTCTGGTAATAGATCAGCTATTTGCCTTATTGAGTCTCTCTTATACAAGATGGGCTGCTGCTGTCTTATGCTTTGAGATTCCCACTCCAACTTGTTATTTGTTTTGTTTGTTTGAGACAGGAGCTTGCTATGGGAACTCGGGCTGACCTAGAACTTGCTATGTAGCCCAAGCTGGCCTGGAGCTCACAGTCCTCCTGCCTCAGCTTCCCGAGTCCTGGGATTACAGGTGTGGAACAGCACACCCAGGCCCTTTGCATCTTTCAGCAGTTTGATGCCCATGTGTCCTGGTGTGGACCTCCTTGAGCTTTTCCTATTTGTAGTCTGTTGATATTTGGACATGTAGACCGGTTTTCACTGTGTTTGAGGATTTTTTTAGTGACTTCTCCAAATGTCCTTTTGTCCTGCTGCTCTTCTGGAGCCCACCCCACGTCATGCGTGAACGTGCCCGGCGGAGCGCCATGCAGCCTTGCACATCTGCTGCCATTGTTCCTTTTCTTTTTCTTTTCACTCTTCAAACTGGACCGTCTCAGATTCACAGTGACTCTTCTTTCTGCACACACGTGCCATAGAGCCTTTTATCGATTTTAGTTTTCATTTCTGTTATTGTAGTTTTCAATTCTAGGGTTTCTATTTTTAATTTTTTATTACATTTTTTATGTAGTATATGTGTGCATGCACACATGTGCCCACGTGTGTGAGATGATGCATGCATACACGTGCTTGCATACCATAGCCTGTGTGTGGAGGTTATAGGACAACTTATGAAAATCAGTTCGCTCCCTCCACCATGTGGGTCCTGGGGATCAATCTCAGGTCTTCAGACTTAGTGGCAAGTGTTTTTATCTGTTAGGCCATCTCACTGGACCCCCAGAGTTTCTGACTTTTAGTAGTAAGCTCTGTATCTTCCTTTATAGCCTCAGTTTGGCTAGACATTGTCATGGTGATTTCTTTGTTCCTTACACACAGTCTATGACATCATCATGGGGATTTCTTTACACACAGTCTATGACATCATCGTGATTTAGTTCTTTACACGCACAGTCTATGTGGGTCTTGGAATGCACCTTGGTTGATTTAAAGTCTTTGGTGTGCCTAGGGCCTGGACCTCCTCAGGTATAATTCTTTTTCTTTTGGGGAGTCACCATGCTTGCTTATTTCTGGACATAGGTTTTTAAATTTTTTGCTGAACACTGGACCTTGGTAACCTCACCGTGGGGCAGCTCTGTAACTGAGTTCTTCTGCCCCGGGCTGGCTGCTACCTGCTTTTGCTTGCCGTGTGTTTGGTAGTTTTCCAAGCTAACTTTATAGCTTGTCTTTGTTGCTTTTTGTGGCCACTAAAGTCTCTTCTCAGGACTAAAGAGAAAGTTCTTCGACATCTGAAACAAGACAAAACAAGCCCCCACTGTCGCTTCTTCTGAGCCTCAAGGTTGCAGGAGAGGAGAGCTTAGAACCTTCACAGGTCTTTCCTAAGGTCTGAGTGTAGCTTCTGCCTTCTGCGTCCCCTGGGCAGAATACCCACAACCTGTGTTCCCAGGAGCACACTGGAATTCTTCACAACCTTTTCTCTGGGATGCTTCCTACCCCTAGGGATTTCCTCCCTGTTATCCACTGCTTAGAAACATTTTCAGCTTGAGGCAGCCTCTTGGCACTGGGTGGATTCCAGGTGCAACAGGGCAAGCCTTTTGAAGCAGTCTCCAGGAAGCCACCCAAGCATTCAAAACGAATGCCATTTCTGTGAATGAGGTTCACTCTTCTCTCTGGTTCCGGTAGTATGCATTTGGAATGGGGACTGAGACCAGAATACACTACAACTCTCTTTTTACTGACAGTCAGCTAGACTACTAAGTCCTTTGGGGAGCTTTTGATCATTTCCTGTCCTGAAAAAGTTGATTGACGCCTTTTGCCAGTGCTTTGGCTGTTTCTATTAGAGGGGTGGGAACCGGAGTTCACTGATGACTCAGCTGTACCCCATTTAATAATTCTGGGTCTGTAGCTCAAGTCCTGTGTACTTCCCCGCCCGTTCTTGCTAACTCCCCCAAACTCGGGCTTTCAGTGTTATCTGCGGGAATACTTCAAAGCCAAGGGTGAAAGTGAACTCTTGGAGCTGTGGTTTCTAATTGATCTCTGCCAGCTGGTGATGGTCAGAAACTGCCCTCAATCAGATCACCGTGGGCTTGGTTAGGAAATGTTGAGGCTGCATCCCTTCTCTGCAGTCATCCTCTGGAGGAAAATGTTCTTGCCTCGCTCTTCAAAGGCCCCACACCTCTAGTGGAATTTTCTGCTTTGTAAGGAATGGTACTACCCTGGCTGTCCAGCACAGTAGTCACCACCCACACGCAGCTGTTCAGCATCTGAAACGAGACTAACACTAGAGGAACCACATTCTAATTATCTTTTCAGTTTTAGTTATTTTAGACCAAATTTTAATGGTCATATGTGGCTATCAGCTGTGGTTTCAGACAGCTCTATGCTAGATGGTTTCCTCGAGGTCCCCTGGCTGGGATGGAGGATGCTGGATGTGAGGGGGTGTCTTCAAGTGTCTTCACCCTACAGTTCTGTAAAATCTGCATCTTCTCCTTGAAGGGACGATTCGAACCTTCCGCTGTGACCTCTGCCCATTCACATCCTCTAAATACTCAAGTTTGAGTCGTCACATAAAGATTCACAGTGACAAGAAACCTCACATGTGCCATCTGTGCCTGAAGACTTTCCGCACTGTCACCCTCCTGCGGAACCACGTCAACACCCACACAGGTGAGGCGCCCTGGTGGCCTTCCCTGATGATGCTCTGTGAGGCTCACTGAGGATGCAGGGCTGCAGGCTTCTGCGTTAAAACACAGTTCTCCCTCGCTTTGGGATTCAATTGACTGATGGTTGGCTGTAGTCTGAATCTTCTAAATAGAAAAGTCCAGAGGCTGAGAGCATGGAGGTCTGTGGTCGAGCACTTGCCTAGCATGTGCAAGAATATCCCCAGCACTGCAAAAATAAAGGAAAATTCCAGAAAGAAGCAATTCATAAGTTTAAATAACACTTCTTTCAGTATATTGCCTAAATTTTCTTTCTTTGATTAGTTTGGTTGTTAATTTCTTAGCATTTGTTAAACTCTGTTTCATCATGTGTTCTTTGTAGCACTAGGGATTAACCTAGAGGACTCAGGCTCCCTGGGGAAGTGCTCTACCATTGCGTCCCCCCCCGCGAGCCCTTGTCTTATTTTTTATTTTAAGTCTATGTTTCACAAGCTAGCCTTGACCTTCTGATCCTCCTGTCTCAGCCACCTGAGTAGCTAGAATGAAGGCCCTGATCTGCCAGACCTTGTTCGTTAGATGTGAGTCTCCTGTTACTGTCAGTTCTTGATCTCTAATTTCTTCATTAAGCTTTATCATAAGTAAACACGCAGAAGGAGGAACAAAGGCTGCGGAGGGATTGATGCTGACACTCCTTCAGGCATCAGGGAGCATCTTGAGATACATCCTCCAGCAATAGGGGGACCACCAGCACGCGTGGTTTTACACTTAGTTTTGCCTTTTTTTTTCTTGCTATTTGTTGTTTGGTTTGCTTTGAGAGAAGGTCTCACCGTTTAGCCCAGGCTGGCCTTTAACTCCCAGTCCCTCTGCCTCAACCTCCTGAGTGCTGAAATTATAAGCATACCATACCACTCCCCCACCCCCACTTCTTCTTGAATTTTAGTTAAAAGCACTGAATGTTACAGACAGTTTTCTCTTGTACATCTGTGATATTTATAGTTCAAAGAGCTTCTTAATTTTTGAAACTTTTTCAGACTATAATTTTAAAGCTATAAAGTCATTGGAAGTTTTGTAGTTAAGTCTTGTTTGAAAAGTATAAACCGTGTGATGTTCCAGGAACCAGGCCCTACAAGTGTGGGAACTGCAACATGGCGTTTGTCACCAACGGAGAGCTTGTCCGGCACAGGCGTTACAAACACACGTATGAGAAGCCCTTCAAATGCTCCATATGCAACTACGCCAGTGTGGAGGTGAGTCCCCTCATAGCCACAGGTCCACACGTGCCAGAGATCTCAGTCAGAGGGACACTAACCTGTGACTCAACCAGTTTTGCCAAAGACACAATTTTAAAAAATCTATGCCAAAAGTCACAGGCCTTGTCCAAATTTAAAATAGGAAACCAGAACCAACCTGGTTGCTCACCCCTGTATCTCAGCACTCAGGAGCCTGCGGCAGGGGATTGCCGTGAGTTCAAGGCCAGCCTGAGTGATGCACTGAGTTCCAAGCTAGCCTGGGCTTTAGAGCAAGACCATGTCTCCAGCACACCACACCCCTCCCTGAATAAGTAAAATAGAAAATGTGTTTTCTTTCATTGCTGATTGGTAAAAGCATTACATTCATCCAGTTTGTGTGTATATGTTCGTGGGGTGGGCATGCTCATGCCATGGTGAAAGTGAAATTATGACAACTTGAGGGGGATTAGGTTTCTCCTTCCACTATAGGGGTCCCAAGGATCAAACTCGGGTCATCAGGCTTGGCAGCAAGCACCTTTACCTGCTGAGTCATCTAACTGGCCCCAAAACAATATTTAAAGGGGTACAGATTACAGATAATGTTAGCTATCCAAGCATGTGGGAGGCAGAGGCAGGCAGATCTCTGTGAGATTGAGGCCAGGCTAGCCTACATAGTGAGTTCAGGCCAACCAGGGCCACATAGTTGAGACCCTATCTCAAAAAAAACCAAAACAAAAAATTTACCTATGTCCAAGAAATAACCCTCAGACTTTTTTTTTTTTTTAAGTCCTATCCAGTGTTTTATATCATACCCAGGGTCACAAAATCAAGACATATTTCCTCTAACAGAACACAGATCTGACCTGAGTTTGGGCTGAAATCTTTTAGCTTACCCCAATGCCACCTGGTCAGACAGAGCTGTTGGCTTGGAGACATAACTCTGCCCATACTCTCTATACCACCAGAGACCCTGATGATTTAGCTATAACCCTGTCTGTAACCCTCTCTGCACCATCCTGGTGATTTAGCTCTAAGTTCTGTTTATGGCTACTTGGAGTGGGCTTTGTTGGGAATTTTGCTTGTTTGTTTTAAGTTTTTTGTGTGTGGTACTAGGGTTTGAACCCAAGGCCTCAAACATGCTAGGCAAGCACTCTACTACTGAGATACATCCCCAGCCCTTTTTCTAAATTTGAGACAGTCTAAGTAAGTTTTCAAAGCTGGCCTTGAACTCACTCTATAGCCCAGGAAAGCCTTGAACTCATTGTAATCCTCCTGCCTCAGCCTCCAGAGCTGGGGTGACAGGCCTGCCCCACCAGACCAACTTTACATCTAGGCTACTGCCACCTGCCACCAGGCCATGAAACAAAGACCGACCACCTGTGGCTTCTCCTTTGGGGGTCGGTTTTCTGGCAGTTTGTTTTTAAGGTTCTGCTGTGAGACTACATCCAAGTCATGAGCCTAGCTTGGAAGGGATAAACACAGGCCTGTAACAAAAAATAAGTTAAAGGGGACAGCAAAAGCTTAAATACAGCAATGACACAACTGTGCTTCATAAATTCGAGGATTTCAGACAGGGTCGGAATTCAATTCCAAGAAATTTTTTCTGCCATGCTATTTTTAAAAGACACTTTCCCATCTAAGGGAAAGGTTGTGGCAGTAACAAGAGGGTACAGGCAGTGTGGACACAGAGGTTCCTCCATGGGAAGAGTCTGTGGGTGTCCTGCCACGTCTCATCAAGAACTTGCTTTCCTGTGCAGTGACAGAGTGTGGTGGAGCCTGGCATGTCCCGCAGGACACTCACCACTCTGCAGCCACTGTCCCCCCATTTGAGGAGTTCAGCCTTACTTGCAGGCCAGTATTGTGACAAGCTGTGTCCTCCCTGACCCATCGTTTTACATGTGAGCTAGGGGAGTGGGCCAGATATACCAGTTTCTGCTTTTACCCCTCTGCTGGGGCCCTTTGAGGTAGGTCTGAGGCCCACCTGGGCTACAAAGCATGTTCAAGGACAGCCCGCATGACTTAGACTTGGTCTCAAAATAAAAAGAAAAGAGCTGGGGGTGTAGCTCACGGGGAGAGCACTTGTCTTCCTGGAGAAATACTCTGTAACCCAGGCTAGCTTGAAACTCATGGCGGTCCTCCTGCGTCAGCTTCCCACGTGCTGGGATTACAGGCATGCATGCATGTCCTACCATGCTTTTTTTTCTGAGACCAGGTCTCTCTATGTAGCCTAAGCTGGCCTTCTGCCTCAGCCTCCTGAGTGTTGGGGTTACAGGCATGAGTGGCCATGACTGACTTTCCATCTCTCACTGAAACTGCTTCACTGAAGCCCTGACCACCCCCAGGTGCCCACTGTAGTGACTGTCTCCCACATGCCCTAGGCCAGCAAGCTGAAGCGTCACGTCCGCTCGCACACGGGTGAACGTCCCTTTCAGTGCTGCTTGTGCAGCTACGCCAGCAAGGACGCCTGCAAGCTGAAGCGCCACATGCGGACCCACTCAGGTGAGCGCAGCTCTGCTCAGGTAAGAGCCAAGTGTCCTCTGGTGAGTGCCTGCACCACACAGCTGGGAGCCACACAGGGCAACCTTCTGAGTGTCAAACCTTGCTCTCCAGCTAGAGTTCGGGTTGCAGTGTCAGCCTCTCCTTGGCCTTGAACTGACTCACTCTGTAGCCCAGGTGAGTCTTGAACTTTCAGTTCTCCTGCCTCAGCCTCTGAGTAGCTGGGATGACAAGTTTACACCAGCAGGAATGACTGCTCTTGCAGGTTTTTAAAAACCCAGTTCTTAATTCACCCTCCAGGGTTAAGGCCGCTCACACCAGTTTCAGTAACTCCCTATAGAGGTGCACGGTCCGTTGGGCTTATTGTATAAAGGATATCTATGGCAGGTCTCCGCTCCATATCCAGTGTCATGCACCCACCCTGAGCTGGCAAAGGGTCACTGGCATCAGGGAATCTCATGAGTCTAGACCCGTAGACCCTGCTATGCTTACAGAATATTGGTTGCCAGTGGGACATAAACCAATGGAAGGAGGAGACTGCTCAGCATAGGGGTCCTTTGGGGAGGCCTAGAATCATTTGTTGCCCATGTCACAGGTGAGAAGCCATACCAGTGCTCCGTCTGCTCTGCCCGGTTCACCCAGAGCGGGACCTTGAAAATGCACGTGGCACAGAAGCATGATGAGAACGTGTCCAAGTACACGTGTCCCCACTGCGCCGCTGTCATCGCGAGGAAGAGTGACCTGCGTGAGTGTCTGGTTTAGCTGTGTCTCCTTGCCCACAGTATCGGCCTTCCCTTTGGAGTCCCAGGGCTTGCAAACTTGCAGAGCCTCTCTGGCTCTGGAGGGCAGCACCGGGCTGGGACACACCTCCTGAGAATGTCTTGCAGAGGGCTTGTACCGCCACCTGGTGACTGATCTAAGTAAGTGCAGTTCCAAAGCAGGCAGACTTCTGGTCTGGGGCTATCCACATACATATAAGCTCACAGACACAAGTTCAAAAGAACATTCATGGGTATTGTTTTAGCCCATGCTGGACTCGTTCTTACAGATAAGGGCACTGAGAATCTGGGCCACAGAGAGATCTGCTGAGAGGTCTCAAGACCTGGGTGTTAGGAGGCAGCTGGGTTAGAAGTCTGACTCTGTCCATGTTCAGCATGCCCAGAACACCCCTATGGGGAGCCGAGAAAACCAAGCAGGAGCAGGCATGGTCCTCCCTAGGGAGCCTGCTTCAGTAAGAGGCGCACTGGGAGACGAAGTCCACCTTCTTCCACTCTGACACAGGACACCACAGGAGAGGATGGGACTTGTGGAGTGACCCCATACATGCACTTGGGAGCCTGTAGCACTCCAGCCTTATAGAAAGGAACAGCCAGCCTTCTGCGTGGGAAGGGAGCTGTCGAAGTCATGGATATTGAGGTCAAGGAGCTGTGGAGACAGAGAACTCTGGAGGGCAGGGAGTCTGGAGGGCAGGGAGCTATGGAATAAAAATAAATTAATGAAAATAAAATTCCTTCCATTCCAGAGATTTCGGGGCTATTTCTGAGAGGTGAAGGTTTTGAACAAACCTTAACTTTTGTCTTTCATCTGGAACATTCTGTCAGCTTTGCTGTGGTTCCCAGGATACCACAAAGCACAGCACAGTGGAACTTTGAAAGACAAAAAGACCAGGAGCCTGTTACCAAGTGGTCCACATTGTTTGGTGACAGAGGTGACAAGCTCTGCAGCCCCTGTTGCGGGTGCTGTGGGGATGCTGAGTCATCTGCTCCCTGTGAGAACCCTTGCTCTGTGGTTACAGCGTTGGGAGGTGCAGGATGCTTCCCGATCACAGTCTTTATTCAGCCTCACACAGTGCTACACGGCCACCAGACCTGAGACTTAGTTGAGTAAGGCCACTCATGCATGCTGCCACCCCAGGAGAACTGGTGTGTGGTGGCGGAAGCCCAGGGTACCACAGTGCCCTGTAGTGACCAGGACGACTGAAGTGTCTGCACAGTCACAGTGCCAAAGATGTGAGACCCCGACTGAGCACCAGGAGCTGGCCTAACAGAAAGCAAGTCTTAACAGTGTCTCCCATGGCTCTTTCAGGTGTCCACTTGCGCAAAATGCACAGCTACAGCCCCGTGGAGACCAAGTGCCGCTACTGCCCCGCCAGCTTTCATGAGCGCTTTGCTTTTATTCAACACCAGAAGACCCATAAGGACGAGAAGAAGTTCAAATGCCAGTACTGTGATTATGCTTGCAAGCAGGTACGTTGTGTAAGTGCACTGGGGAGACATGGGAAATGGTGGAGCCCAGGAAGGAAGCTAGAGGCTGGAGAGAGGGCTCAGCCATTAAAAGCACCTCTCCTCTGTCAGGAGGACTGGGGTTTGGATCCCAGTACCCATGTCAGATGGCCCCCAACCATCTGTTACTCCAGCTCCAGGGGATCTGATATCCCTTCTGGCCTCCATGGGCACCTTCGCACACAAAAGTGCACATACACTCACACAGACTCACACACATGTAAACAAAAGTAAAATATAAAAGACTTTTCTTACTAAAAATCTTGAGTCATGTTTGACCAGCATGTGCTCAGTGGCCACAAGGCCTCAGCTGGCCTCTCAGAGTGGGTTTACAGACCCACCAAAGTCCTTGATGGAGTCTTGGTCCACACCAGCCTAGCCATCATCACAGGAATGCCAAAGTGGGTCACTCCCTTGTGTAGACATTTGGTGTCAGAGCAGTGATGTGTCTTGGCCGTGGTTGTTCAGTGATGTCCCATTGGACCGACTGCGACTATGATATTCCTGCCAGGAAGCAGAAAAAAAGAGATGTCACTCCAGAACATTCTGAGGGTGGGTAAGATGGCTCAGCAGGTAAGGCTGGAAAGGAAAGTATTCTCCCACAGCCTGACCACCTGAGTTCTGTCCCCAAATCCATGTAAAGGTGGAAGGAAAGAACTGACCCCACAAAATTGCCCTCTGAACTCCACACACGTGCTGTGACATGTACATGCCCACACATGCAATAATAAGTAGATAAATAAATTTAAGTGCCCTGGACCATGCTGTCATAGTCGTTACCTTTACTAAATCTCGACTCAGCACACTCTCAAAGATTCTGTCAAAGGAAACAGAAGCTGTGTGTAACATGTCCTATGCCCTCCGCGGCCCAGAAGTTGTTTGAGTTGCCAATTCAACTAGCCACTTTCTGTGGACGCCATTTTCATTTGAACAGGTATGTGGCAAACGGTCTCTGCGCATGTGGTGATGAGCTTTGGATGGCATTTTATTGACAAAAATGCGTGTCCAATCCATGGGAAACACGTTACTACTGATTAAAGCTTCACGTTTGGAAAGAAAGTTAGATTTTGAATTTTGGAAAATGAGGTGTCAGCTCACCAAGATTTCTAATCCTTAAGTTCTGTGGTTTCTAGAAAAAAGTCTTTTTTTTCTATATGCTGCGGGATGGAATGTGCCATTTACAGACACAGCCTTCACAGCTCATTACTCTGGCATTTTCCAAGCGGCTGATCTATGAGCACCACAGAACCACACATGAGTAGAAGGCTATTCAGCATTCAAGATGGAAAGGCAGATTTTTAACAGAACACAGAATAAGGGCTGATTGTTGTGGGTGCGAGTTCAACGTTGCCACCACAAAACTTTTAGGAAATTAACACTTACTGAGTTCTTGTATAGTAACAATGTCCATATTCTTTAAAAAAAAAAAAAAAAAAAAAAAACCAAACCAATTAAAATCCTGCTTCTTTGTATGTGGGGGTATATCTGTATACGTGCACGTGCAGGCCAGAGGTCAAGGCCAGGTGTCTTTCTCTATTGTTTTCTACCTTATTTTCTGAGACAGATTCTTACAGAATCCAGAGCTCACTGATCGGTCTAAGCTGGCTGGCCAAAGAGCCCCAGGGATCTGCGTATGTCTACCTGCCAGAGCTGAGATCACAAGCACAGGCCATCACACTTGGCTTTTGCATGGGTGCTGGGGATCTGAACTCAGACCCTCATGGTTGCACAGTGAGCACTTTACCCTCTGAGCAGTCTCCCCAACCTCCTCTGCTCCCTTTTTTCTGCAAGTTTAGGTTCCCATACATGTCGACAAACCCCACAATGGGGAGAGAGGCAGGGACAGACTCCCTCTGAGTTTTCTGCAAGGCCTGTGTGACTCAGCAGAAAAAAATGCAGGGCAAAGCCAGGCATGGAGGCACACACCTTTCATCCCAGCATTCGGGAGGCAGAAGCAGGCAGATCTCTGTGAATACCAGGCTAGCCTGGTCTACAGCAGGTTCCAGGGCAGCTAGGGTTATATAGCGAGACTCTGTCTCCCTTCCCCCACCCCAAGACAGAATAAAGTAGTTAACTTTGGATATCAGATCATCATGGAATGGTTTTGCCTGTTTGGCCCCAAACACTGCAGCCCACATTGCAACAGGAAACCCTGATTATTAAGGCAGTCATCTTTTGTTTGTTTTGAAAAATAGGTCTATGTTTTTACAGAAATATATTTGGAAGTAGCTCATTGGGTTAACAGTTACTTTTAATTTTTAAGGATTAATTTTTTTTATTTTAGGTCTATGAATATTTGCCTGCGTGTGTGCCTGTTGCTCTCAAAGGCTAGAAGAGGCCATTGGATCCCCTAGAACTGGGGTTATAGATAGCTGTGAGATGCTTTGTGTGTACTTGGGCCTCTTCAAAAGCAGCAAGTGCTCTTACCACTGAGCCATCTCTCCAACCTCTTGTTTTTATTTTTAATTGTGTAGTGCATGTCTCTGTATGGGGATATGCATATGAGTACAGGTGCCTGTGGAGGCCAGAAGAGGGTAATGCATCTTGTAGATCTGGAGTTACAGACATTTGTGAGTCACCCAACGTGGATGCTGGAACCAAATTTGGGTCCTCTGAAAGTAGTATGTGCTCTTAACGAGCCATCTCTCCAGCCCCCGGTTTATTTTTAAATGTAAATCCCTCACTTGGTCTTCTTCATTGCATGCTATTACATCTCACATGCACGAAGTGCTTTGGAGTGTGTGGTGGTCTTTAAGATACGGACGTCCCAGTGTGCCTTGGAGCATTGTGACTCTCTCACTGGTGGTCACCGAAGGAAGGCATTTACCACACTGTGTGGCTCTATCGGGACTGGAGCGATGGCTCACAGTTAGAAGCACGTGCTACTCCTGCACAGCTTTGCCAACACCCATGTCACTCCAGTTCCAGGGGCGCTAACACCCCCTCCCAGCCGCAGGCCCCCCACCCAGGTACATATATCTACAGACTCATAGACACATAAGTAAAAGCAAAATAAATATTCAAAGTGTGGGCTATGGAGAATTTTTATTTGTTTAGTTTGTTTCAGGGTTTTTGAGACAGTGTCCTACATAGCCCAAGCTGGCATAGAACTCTGTACATAGCCAAGGGTGACCTTGAACGTCTGATCTTCCTGCCTCTACCTCCCAAGTGCTGGGATTATAGGTGTGATTCACCACGCCTAGCTTACAGGATGTTTTTATTATTTATTTATTATTTATTTATTTTTATTTTATGTGTGTGTGTCCACTGAGCGCGCCAGCCGGCCCTGCTTGAAAGAGGGCAGCACGGTTCTTGGGGAGGAAAATACAGGCTACAGTAATGCTAGAGAGTTCTGAGAAGTCCTTCCACCCTGAGTCAGCCATGTCCCCAATTCCCCAGAAGCACTGCATGGTAGCCCACGTGCGCATCCACACGGGAGAGAAGCCCTTCGTCTGTGTGACCTGTGACAAGCACTTCCGGCAGAAGCAGCTGCTCACCGAACACCTGAGGAAGTTCCATGACCCAAACTTTGTCCCCACTGAGCACCAGTGCCTCAAGTGCAGCAGATCCTTTTCCCGCTGGGTAAGCATTTGTCTCGGAGGTGTGGGGTCACACCAGGATCATGGAGAGAGGGTAACCCAATTGTCAAAACTTGCCAGGGCTTTAGACTGAGGTCACCTTGCCCAAGGGAGAAAGGTGCTTACTAGTTTTTAATTTAAACTCCCAAGAGTTTTATAAACATGCACTTTCCCTCCACCAGAAAAAGGACAGGCCTATACACACAGCCTTTTAAGGATCGAACCCAGGGCCTGGTACATGCTAGGCAAGCACTCCACCCACCCAGCCCTGCCCCCTATTTGGAGACAGGGTCTCCCTGTGCCCCAGCTGGCCTGGAACTGGCTATATAGGGCATCACCCCCTATTTATTTATTTATTTATTTATTTATTTATTTAATTTATTATTTTTGGTCTTTTAGACAGTGTCTCCCTGTAGCCCCAACTGACCTGGAACTCACTTTGTAGACCAGGCTGGCCTTGAACTCACAGAGATACACCTGCCTCTGCCTCCCAAGTACTGGGATTAAAGACATGTGCCACCATGCCCAGCTCCCTTTTTAGTTTTTATTGTAAGATCAGTTATTGCTAAATTGCCCAGGCTGGCCTTGAACATGGATCCTCCTGCCTCAATCTCCTGAGTAGCTGGGATGGCAGGCCTCCATTACCCAGCCCAATTCCTATGTTAGTTATAGCTCTTAAAAACTTTTAATTTATTTTTATTTTATGTGTGTGAGTGTTTTGCCTGCATGTATATAAATACACCCATGTGTGTAATGCCCGTGGGGGCCAGAAGAGGATGTTGGATCCCCTGGAACTGGAATTACAGGTGGTTGTGAGCTGCCATGTGAGTGCTGGGAACTGAACCCAGGACCTCTGCAAGAGCACTCAGTGCTCTTAACCACTGAGCATCTCTCTGGCCCTGTTAGTTGAATTCTTTGGTGGGTATGAAATTTGCCAGTGTTGCTTATTAGTATTATTTCTGGTCTGTATTTCAGTTTATAACCCCCTCATTTTACTAAACAATTTTGCAACATCAGGCCCAGCTCCACACACATTATCTTGGAAAATAGGGGAGTTTTCTGACTCCTGAAAGAACCTAGTTTGGGGGCGTTTTTGTCTGTTTGCTTGTTTGTTTTCTGAGGTGGGGGTCTCACTGTGTAGCCCTGGCTGACTTGAAACTCACTATGTAGACCAGACTGGCCTTGAACTCACAGAGATCTACCTGCCTCTGCTTCCTGAGAGCCGGAATTAAATAAAGGCGTGTATCACCACACCCAGCTGCCCAGCAAAGCCTAGTTTTTAAAGTGTGGTAGTTGAAAATTGTTCTGTGAACTAAATTTGGACATCTTCACAGAGGAATTCCAATTTTCAAGCGTTTACAAGATGTAAAATGGAGGTGGATTCGCACTTTCAGATGCCAGATTCACCTTTTATTTCCACATAACAAATTACCTCAAAACTTCAGGGCTTAACAAACATCAGGTCACAATGTCCGTGGGTCGGGAACCGGGGCGTGGCACAGCTCTGTGCTTCCAGCTCAGAGTCTCCTGAGGCAGCTGGCAGGATGGCCACAGGAAAGTGCCATAGCAGTGCTGGGCATGGCTTGGGGGTTGCTTCCAGGATGGCTTCCCAGAGGAGGCAGGTAGAGATTTCTTTGGGGAGGGAAGGTGTGAGGTGTTTTCAGATTGTGATGGTAACTTCACAACACTGTGAATAAACTTCAAAAACCATACAGTTTACATGGATGACTCCTATAATAGATGTATCTTATCTCTGTAAAGTTAACAATGGGGGCTGGAAAGATGGCTCAATGGTTAAGAGTACATGCTGCTTTTGCAGAGGACCCAAGTTCAGTTCCCAGCACCCACATGGTGGCTCACAACCATCTATAACTTCAGTTCCAGGGGATCTGAGGCCTTCTTCTGGCCTCCTCAGGTACCCGCACACATGACACACACAAATTTACACAGGCACACGCACGTACACATAAATCAAGATCATTTCAAATACATTGGTGGGTACATTCAGTAGGTAGGTCATAGAAAGGGGTGGGAGGTTCTACTATAGGCCTCAGATGCTATCAGATGTCAGATGTCATTCTTAACTTTTTGATTGCTGGGACCTGGTGGTCTGCTAAGTTAATACATTCCAAAAAGTTTTCATCTGTTAGTCATGGCATGCTAAATCAGAAACAAAGGTGGCAAGGAGTAGCTATTTAGAGGGCTAAAGATGGTCCAAGATAATGGTAACTGGGCTCTGGACCTGCAACACTCCAAACTCTCCACAATCAAGTTCTAATCGGTTCAGCTGCAGGAAATTCAGTCCAGGATGCAGGATTTTCTGGGAACTTTTTTGTTCACACAGTGCATCAGGTGTTGCTATGTACTCTGCTGGGGGAACTGCTGGGCTCCTCTCAGATTCTCCAAGGATTCCTGCCTGCCGCCACCACCAAAAAATAGCTTGTTTTCTACATGACCATGCAGCTCTAGGGCAGCACGCTTTCTCTGTAAATGTGATAAATACTCTCAGCTTCTCTGGCCAGCCTCAGCCACAACTTGAATCTGCTGTTATCCCCACGCCAGCCATGAACAGACCACTTGTAAATGAACAGGCGTGGTCGTGCTCCAGTAAAGTTTGCTGACATAAGACAGTGGCCAAGCATGAATCTGGAGGGGTTTGGGTGATCAGCCGTAGCTCTTCACTTACCTGCAAATAAGGGCAGTCCTGGGGTCAGAGTAGAACTGTGGCGGGGGGTCTGGTGCTCTCATCACATTCAAAACACACAGCCGGCCTTTGCTTCCACAAGAAAGCTTTCCAAACAGTGAGTGTGACTTAGCACCGAGTGGTCCTGTGTGCAATGCTTCAGTGTCCTGCAGCACATGGTGTGACTGGGACAGCCTCAACTCTTCTGCTAATTATTTCCATTTTTATTTATTATGTGTGTGTGTGTATGTGTTTGCGTGTGTGTCTACAACATGCATGCGGAGGTCAGAGGAGTTGGTTTTGGGAGTTAGTTCTCTCCTCCCACTGTGGGATCTGGGGATTGAACTCGGATCATCAGGCTTGCTCCATGAGGTTTTTACTACCCTGAGTCATCTTGTTAGCCCTGGTTCTTTTTATTTTATAATTTTAAAATACTTTTATTTATTAATTTTATGTGAGTGAGTGTATTACCTGCATGTATGTAAGTGCATCCATGTCATGCAGTGCCTATGAAGGTCAGAAAAGGGTGTTGGATCTCCTAGAACTGGAGTTATGGATGGTTGTTAGGCACCATGTGGGTGCTGGGACCTGAACCTGGGTCCTCTGCAAGAGCAGCCAGTGCTCTTAACCGCTGAGCCATCTCTCCGCCCCCCTTTTTATTTTTAATGCTTTGTTTTGTTTCTTGTGTGTATGTGTGCATGTTTACATGAGTGTGGGTGCACATGCATCCATGAAGATGCCCAAGGTTGACTTGAGGACTCTGCCTTGGTCATGATCCATTTTTATTTACCGAAGTAGCATCTCTTACTGAACACTAAGCGTACTGATCCCCTCTGGTCTAGCTGCTCAACTCTGCTCACCGAGGGCTGGAATTACATGTGGCCACCCTGGCTGCCCAGCTTTTAAATGGGTTCTAGGGAGCTAAACTTAGTCCTCACATTTGTGTGGCTAGCACTTTACCTGCTAAACAATTTCCTCAGCCTTGTTTTGTTTTGAGACAGGGTCTTACTATGTAGCCCAGGCTAGCCTTGCACTCATGGCAGTCCTCCTGCCTCAGCTGGGATTAGCTCATTTGGGATTACAGACATGAACCACCATACCTGGCCTTTTCTTCTAAGTTCTGTGTGCTCTCTGAACACCTGCCACCTGTATCCTGAGCTGGGGTTTCAGGAGAACAGCAGTGGGGACAGTCTCCCGAATGGCGTGTTGTCATAAAATCACGATGCATTGAATTTCTGATTTGGCCTAGGGCCTCACTTTACAGGATAGAAGCATTCTTAAACATTGAGCTGTCTTCTCATTGATATCTACTATTTTTAAAATGAAACCAGTCTGGAGAGATAGCTCAGCTGTTAAAAACACCGCTTTTGCAGAAGACCTGGGTCTGGTTCCCAACACCCACGTGTAAAAATAATAAAATGAAAATAAACATAAACCGGGCATGGCCCATACCTTTAATCCCAAGACCTGGTAGGCAGAGGCAGGCGGATCTCTGTGGGTTTGAGGCCAGCCTAGTCTACATAGTGAGTTCCAGGCCAGTCAGGACTACATAGGAAGCTGAAAGAAGCAAGGGAGGAAGGAAGGAAAGAAAAAGGAGAGAGAGAGGGGTCAAGGTGGCTTTTGGCTAGACCTAATGACAGGAAGCTACCCTTTAAAAAAAAAAAAGGTCATTTGGGGGACGTTTTGGTCCAAGGTACAAAGGGTGCATTTTGTTCTCTGTGTTCCTGAACTCAGGTTGTCAGTCTTAGCTCTTAGCTATAAGTGTCTTTACCCTCTGAGCCATCTCACTGGCCTAACAAAGCCCATTATTTATTTACTTATTATTTATTTGTTAGTTAGTTAGTTAGTTAGTTTTTTGGTTTTTGAAGTAAAGTCTCACTCTCACCGTGTAGCCCTGGCTGGCTTGGAATTCCCTATGTAGACCAGGCTGGCTTTGAACTCACAGAGATCCGCCTGCCTCCACCTCTGGGTATGAGCCACCACACTGGGCCCCAAAGCACATCTCTTAGTCATGGTTGCAAACTGCAGGTGGGGCCACTGATGTCTCTGTGTAATTTATGTTATCTCCCACAGACTAACCTGCAAAGACACAAGAAGAAGTGTGACCCAGAGCAGCAGAAGCTGGCCACCTCCAGCAGGGGGAGTCCGATGCCAGAGCCGAAGCAGACAGTCTGGGAGGAAGCAGGACAGGAAGACGGTACCTCCCTTCAGACAAAACTGTTCTAATCTGGCCCATTGTAGATTCCAGCCAGAAAGTCAGTGAGGGCCCGGGTGGGCACAGCCCCATCGTGGGGGGCTTGGCAGCCATATCCACATGACTGAGTGACAGCCATACCGCTACACAAGTGCACAGTTAATCCACCGACCCCTCGCTCTCAGTGGTCTCTTTAGTAGTATGGTGGGACTTGCTGTTCCAACAGGGACCTTCCTGGGGCAGCTTTGATAAACTACACTGTCCAGAGCTATAGACACGGACCCTCTCCAAGCTCCAGAGAAAGGTGCTCCTGAGATCAGAAGTGAGCTGGAAGCCAGGACGATTAGAAGTGCTGGAGTGGCTGAGCCTTTAGGAATCTTTTACTTGGCCTTTTCTGCCTTTTCTAGTATTTGGAGCACAGGGACTTTTTTTTTTGCAAATGCTGTTTGGGGCCTGCAGTGGGGAGGAGGCATCTCCTGGTCTTCCTTCACTCTCTCATATGTTAATCCTGACTCCACTCTTTCCCCGAGACTCACTCCTTCTCCATGGCCACCCTGGCCCCGGTGCCCTGTGTCCTCCCGACAGCACCCTTTCCTCCAGGAGTTCACATTCATCAGGAGGGCTCAGAGGCTCCCTCTGTGCACAATACAGCCCTCCCTCGGCAGTGGGTGGGTGCAGTCCTCTACATAGGTCAGAAGGACTACATAGCTCAGCGGGCTGAACCTGCTGGGCACTGTACCAGGCCCAAGAGGGCAACCTGTGGCTGGTCCCCCATCCTTGTGCTGATACTGCCCACCAGCCACCCTCCTTCCCAAACCCCATCCCACTCCTCTGCGTCCCCACCTCTTTCCAGCCTGGTGCCCTTGGCCACCCCTCAAGCTCTTGCTCTTCTCCCTCCCCAGGAGGCCCTGTCAACACCCACAGGCTCCAAGGGCTTCTCAGTGCAGCCCCTGCGGTCAGAACAGAAAAAAAGTGACTGTCACCATACCAGGTGCCATCACGGGTGCAGCCTGACTCTGCTCGCCTTTACCCCAGCCATGTCACTCAGTACATCGGAGGGCCCCACATCTGTCTGGAGCCCCTCAGCATCTCCCCATTCTTTTGAGCAGCCATCACGTCTCCTCTGGCCTGATCTTTTCTTTTGCCTTAAACACAATCAGCAACTTAGGAAAAATATGAACAGAAAATCCTAGCCTTGCCCTGTGCTGGCTCTTACTTCCTGTAGAACTCTGGTCACCCCAACTCATGGTGTGTGGGGTGTCTGGCCACCCCTCTGCTTCCATCCCTTCCTCTGTCCCCTTCAGTCCCTGAGGCTCCAGCCTCCTGAGTGTCCCCCGGCCTGCTACCCTGCCCCTGCCCTCTGGCCATCCTTTCACTCTCTACCTGGGTTCCACCTTACCCTGCATTGGTGTCTCCTGCCCCACCTTCACATCCAGGAGGACACACTTGTGCCACCCCCACATTGCATCCCACAGCCCCACCTACATCCTCTCTCCTGAAATACCCAGAGACCTTTGAACTGCACACGAGGCCCCTCCTTCCTCTTCTCCCACCAACACCCCCTTCCTTGACCATCCAGGCCTCTCACTGAGGCCCAGCATCTGTGAGGGCTGCCCACCTACCCGTCCTGCCTACCTCAGTTCCCTCTCCATTCCCAGCCAGGCCACGGTTCCTTCCTTACCACCTCTAGTCTCTCATGTACCCACCAGCTCTTAACCCTCAGCTTTGCTCTCCTGGTCACCTCTGCCTCACGGGCACCCCCAGAACGATCCTTATCATCACAGTGGTGCTTGATCACACCAGCTCTCTCCTGGATCTATCCCCCCCACTCTTTCTCTGGCTTCTGGTTCTTCCTGAGGACCCTGCCCCAACCAGCTGGTAGCAGGAGTTGTTAATTTGTTGAATAAGAAAATAACAAGAAAGCTGGTCCTTTATTGAAGATTGAGATCCACACAGTCTACCAGAGGCTAACCCTGGCCCCTAAGTGCTAGTATAGGATAAATCTTAAAACCTGGCTGAAATATTAGGAGCCTAAAGGCTCTTCTATGGTTCTATTGCCTCCTATCCAAGTGTTGAATTCTGTTAAAGGCCTTCAAACTCTTTGGCAGAATTCTATTTGCTGAGGCTGGAGATTATCAATTTGAGACCAGCCTGAGCTACATAGTGAGACTGTCTCAAATACAAAGGGATGGGGATGTAACTTGGTGATAGAGCACTTGCTAGCACGAACCAGGTCCTGAGTTTGAACCCCGGCATTAGAAAAGCAAAAAGACAGAGACGGGGATAGGAGACAACTACTTTGCTTCTGCCAAAAATTACTCCCCCAAGCTGATCTGAGCTCCTACGCACGTGCCTGGGGCACTGACAGGACATCAGCGAACAAATCCATATGGAAATGGGAGGTGGCCCCCAGATGTCTCTGCAAAGGGGAACATCATTTAGACCAGGCCCTGAAAGACACACCTAGAAACGCACCTTGCATTTGGCTTCCGAGGTACAGAGGGCAGAAGTGAGAAATTCCCATAGGTTTAAAACCAACAACGACGGGACCGTGGTGGGACTGGGCATCTGCTGCATCCAAAGTTACATGTACAGCAAGTCCCCTGGCTTTCATCAGCCAGACCCACAGCCTGGTTGTCCTTCCCAGGTCCCGGTGACCTCGCCGTCCCTTGTCAACGGCCTCATTTTCCTCTTCGCCTGGCTGGTGAATCCCTCACTGGTCACTTCCTCCAGAGAGTTCATGCGTCACCACCTGATGGTTCCATGTTTATGAGCCTCGTGTCTGTGACATTCATGAGGGTAGGCCCCCTTGCCCCCACACTTCAGGAAGCACCTAGTATTCACGTGAGAGATGGCTCTCTGCAGTGTTCAGTTCCAAGTGTGTCATTTGGAAAGTGGACAGAGGGCTGAATGCTGGTACGTCTGTAGCCATCTCTCTCTAACTCTCCAAGCTGCATGGGCCGTTCTATAAGCTGCTGGCAAGCGGATGGTGGCAGGTCAGGGATCTGGGTGTGCCTCACAGCATGCTGGTTTCAGAGAGCCTCCTTCCTCGTGTCTTGGACTCAAAACAGAACTCCAGATGACTCCCTCCACTGTCCCCCATCCTCAGCCTGTCCCCTGCAAACTGACTCAAGCCCGACTCTCACTAAAGGGCTTCCTCCACCCATACATCAGAAAGTCTCCTGACCTCTACTCTACCCGTCTGCACCTTGACCAGAGTAAGTCCTCAGTCTGTGTTGACTGGCTGAGGGGACTCTCTACATAGTCAGTGTCATCTGTGAGTAGTGGAAAGCTAGCACAGTTGTGATGGGATCTGCTAGGCCTTCGTCCTATACGGCGCCTCAGCACAAGAGACCAACCCCCTACACATGACGCTGTAGGACATTTTAAAACTTATTTATTTTTTAAGATTTATTTTTATTTTTTACATATATGAATGTTTTGCCTGTATGTATGTAAGTACCCGCATGCACATTGTGCCCATGGAGGCCAGAAGAGAGAGTCAAAGTCCCTGGAACTGGAGATACCAACAGTTTCTAGCCACCACACGGGTACTGGGAGCTGAACCCAGGTCCTCTGCAAAAGCCACAAGTGCTTTTTACCTCTAAGCCATCTATCTACCCAGCTCCATTTATTATTAATTACTGTGTATATATGTGCATGACGTGTAAGGGGGCACACGCACACCATAGAGTCAGTTCTCTCCTTCCACCTTGTGAGTCCCAGGGATCCAACTCAAGTCGTCAGGCTTGGCAGTGTGCACCTCTGCCCACCGAGCCATCCCTCTGGCCCTGAGGACTCTGGTACAGCCACAGCTGACGAGGAGGAGTGTGCCACAGGCACCTTATGGCAGGAAGCTGCTGATGTCCTGCAGTGACTATGATGTCCCATAAAGGATTCCCCATCCCAGTGGCCTTGGGTGGAGCTGGGGAGCAGCCCTCTCTGAAGCAAATGGCTGATGGCCAGTGTTTGAGAGTCACCTTGCTTTCTGACACACCTGCCGCTGTGCTCAAACTGAAGTGATTCTTCCCAAAATACACTCGCCCCGTTTCCTGATTCGGATGTCTTGGCTCGCTCTCACATGCTCTCACTCTGTCTTTCCTCACAGATGCTACTGCCCAGGAGGATGCCACCTTGAGGGAGGCACAGCTCCCCGGGGAGCTGACTCTGGGCCACCATGAAGAAAGCACCGGTGGGGGGAGCAAGGACCTCGATGAAGGCCTGACCTGTGAGATGATCTTCAACATGATGGATAAGTGACGGGCTGCTCTGTGTACCGCAGCCGTTAGTGAAGCAGATTAGAAACAGACAAGGTCACGGTTAGTGAGGAAGTAGTTTAGAAACAGACAGGTTTCCCCAGAGTTTGACGTAGTGTGCAGAAGATATTTGAAAAAGCACAGACCAACCAACCAAACACACACAAAATTTACAGGTGCCTTCTGAAAGACAAGAGTTTGACCCTGGGCTGAAGGGCACCTCAGCCCTGTGACTTCACTCCTGGACACCAGCAGGGTGGCCCCAAATAAGCCAAGGGATACTTATTTCTGTAGGAGTTCAGACCAGCCAACACCTCAGTAATCAGAGTGAGGAAGCTTTTCATTGACTTGTGTTTGTCCTTGATATTTCTGATACTGTGATATATTTAAACATTGCAGATGAATTTTTATATCTTTTTCATATAAATGAGTTTTCCATAAAGTTTAAAGCTACCATAGTACTTTTAATGAATTCTAAATTCAACCAAAAAGGTCAATATGCTATAAAAAGATAAAACGGGAATAGGACAGACCGCACATCAGACCAGAGGGTGTGTGCAATGTGTTTTACACTGCTGCAGAGCAAGGTTCACCTCTAAACTTTTGTCATCTCTGCTTTCCCACGTAGTGGACCTGTGGCGCGAACCCAGGGCCTGGCACATGTGAGGCAAACTGCGCTCCACCCACAGCTCTTTTTCTTCTCTTTTTAGATTGAGTTCCCCAGGTTAGGCTTGAACGCTTTCTTTATCAAGGCAGATTTTGAACTTTGAATCCTCCTGCCTCAGTCTTCCAAGAAGCTGGAATTCCAGGCCTGCCTTATATTCCCTTTTAATTACGTTCTTTGCCAGGTATGAAATTGCCCTGGCATTGTTTATTAGGACTGTTTTTATTTCTTAGCCAGGTGTGATGGCACATATCTGTTATTCCAGCATTCAGGAGGTAAGGGCAAGAGGATTAGGAGCTCAAGGTCATCCTCAGATACAAATCAAATTCAAGGCCAGCCTGAACTACATGAAATGCTATCTCAAAAAACATTATATATAATTTCTTAGTATTTCAGTTTCTGACCTCTTTGCTTTGCTTAAAGTGCTTTGTTTAAATTTTTGAATGATTGGTAACAAGAAGCAACCCAAAAATCTGATAATGAAATGTGTATTTGTGAGGGATTTGAACTTTTTGTAACTCTCAGTAATTAGGGAGAAAACCTTTATCCAGCCCCTTCTCTCATAGTCACTGTTTGAGGTACCTCTGGGCATCTGAGATTAACCAGGTCCCATCTACAGGAGCCAGTGTTCCCCCTTTGCTTAGCACATTGTGGCTGTGAACCTTCCCACACCCCCATATCTCCGAATCACCCACAGGCCCCAAGTTCAGATTCTTAAAATGTTGATCTGTTCACATATCACCCATTCAAAACCCTATGCATTGTGGATAGGAATCATTCCCCATAGTGCAGTGTAGATGGGACCCATTCCCCACAGTGAGGGTGGATGGGATGCATCCCAAAATGTTGTATGGGTGGGGAGCACCCTGCAGTGTGGTATGGATGGAGAGCACCCCACAGTGTGGTATGGACGGAGAGCACCCCACAGTGTGGTGTGGATGGAGAGCACCCCACAGTGTGGTATGGACGGAGAGCACCCCACAGTGTGGTGTGGATGGAGAGCACCCCACAGTGTGGTATGGACGGAGAGCACCCCACAGTGTGGTGTGGATGGAGAGCACCCCACAGTGTGGTATGGATGGAGAGCACCCCACAGTGGGAGGGCCTTTGCATTCTTTCAGTGCTGCGTGTCATTTCTGTTTATAACATACAACCAGATTTAAATTCTGTGATCTGTCATATGCTGTCACTGTGACTCAGTTTTTATATTTTCTTAATTTTTTGACTGTTGTAAAAACGTTCTGTATAATTCAATAAAATTATGTTTTTAAATGCCTGCACAGCTTTGTTATTTGCAAATGATCTTCTCTTTTGTTTTTGTTTGCTGTTGTGGTACTAGAGGTGAAACCCAGACCCTCAGGCATGCCAGGCAATGTCTCACCACTGACCGATGTCCACAGCCAGTTTTGTACTTTCTATTTTGAGACAGGGTCTCAGTGAACTACCAGGCTGGCCTTGAACTCGCACGGTAGCCCAGGCAGATCCGAATTCGCCATTGTGCTAAGACTCCCTAAGTTCCTTGGGTTGCATTCCTGCTCCAGCAAGCCCAGCTAATGATGGTCTTTAAAATGACTTCTTGGGGGGCTGGAGAGATGGCTCAGCAGTTAAGAGTGAGTAGCTCTTGCAGAGGAACTGAGTTTGGTTCCCAGCACCCACATTGGTGGCTCACTACAACTTGTATCTCCAGCGCCAAGAGATCCAATGCCATGTTCTGATCCTCACAGACACCTGCTACAAACATGGTGTACATAAACTCACGAGGGCGTACATGCATACGCATGCAATTAAAAAATCTTTTTAAAAATGTTTTCTTGGGTCACTAAGATGACCAGTGAGTAAAGGTACTTAACACCAAGTTTGAGTTTGATGCCCAGGACTCATGTGGTAAAAGGAGAGAACTGACTCCTGAGACAGTGTCCTCTGACCTTGTCAGCCATGGTACATGCATCCTCTCTCTCTCTCTCTCCCTCTCTCTCTCTCTCTCTCTCTCTCTCTCTCTCACACACACACACACACACACACAAATTAATTAATTAATTAATTAATTAATTAATTAATTTTTTTATTTTTAATGTCCTCGAGTAACGGGAGATGGCTCAGTCTGTAAAGTGTTTACAATGCAAACACGGGGATCTGAGTTTGGATCTCCAACACCCGTATAAAAAGCAGAGTGTGGGGGCTGGAGAGATGGCTCAGTGGTTAAGAGCACTGACTGCTCTTGCAGAGGACCCAGGTTTGATTCCCAGCACCCACATCATGGCTACAAACCATCCTTAACTCCAGTCCCAGGGGAGTCCGAAGCCCTCTTCTGACCTCTGCGGCATTGCACAACACAGGTGCACTCACATACATGCAGGCAATACACTCATACACATAAAATAAAAATAAAATATTTTTTAAAAAAAGCAGAGTGTGGTCTCACACATCTGTAATCCCAGCATAGCTGAATCAGCGAGCCTCAGGTTCAGCAAAAGACCCTGTCTCAAAAGAATAAGGTGGACAGAGTCAAGTAAGATACTCAGTGTTGACCTCTGACATCCACATGTATATATGCACACATGTGCACACACAAAAATAAAATTAGTATTTAAAATGTCTTCTTGGTCTTGGGAAGTGGCTCAGTAAAGTGCTTGAGGGTCTGAATTTGGATCCCTGACCTGGCAGCATGCTCCTGTAATCCCAGCAGGATTGGGGAGGCAGAGACAAGAGGGGCTCCGGGGCTCGCTGGCCAGCCAGCCTTGCCAATCAGTGAGTTCCAGATTTAGCAAGAGATCCTGTCTCAAAAAAAAGAAAAGAAAAAGATGGAACGTGATTAGAGGAAGACACCTGTGGTGCTCTGAATGAGAAATGTCCCCTCCTGGGCATCAAGCATTTAGACACTTGGTTCCAAGTTGGTGACACTGTTGGTAAAGGTTTAGAAGATGTGGCCTTGCTGGAGTGTGTCACTCTGAGTGGGCTTTGAGCGTCTTCTACTTCCTGTTTCCTGCTGAAGATGATTTCTGCTCCTGAGGCCTGCGGCCTGCTTCCCACTCCTGCCTCTGTGCCTGCTGCCTCTGCCACGCCTCCCCACCATGATGGACTTTCAGCCCTCTGGAACTTTAAGCCAAAATAAACTCTTCCTAAGTTACCTTGGTCACGGTGTTTTAATCACAGCAACAGAAAAGTAATAGAGCACCCAAAGTCCAAAGCTGCCTCCACACACATGAACACGCACACGTGCACACACAAGCTGTCTTCTCTGTGTCGAGACTGTGGAGGAACTGGAATCCTGTGCACTACGGCTGGGCATGCATGCACAAGGCTATAGCTACGATGAAGACGGTGAACCATTCCTCAGAAATCTCAAAATAGAATTCCCATATGCATCAGCAGCTCCACGGCTGGGCTTCTACCCAAAAGAACTGAAATTGGGGTTTGTCAGAGATACTTGCACACCCACATAGCATTCTTCACAGTGACCAAAAGGTGGAAGCCAAGGTCCGTCAATGGGTGAAGAATCCATGCATACAGTGGATCACTATGCAAGCCTCAAAAAAGAAGGGCATCATGCTGCCTAGATAAACCTTGATTTGTGGGATAATTCAGTCACATAAGAAGCTGTCTGGTTCCCCTGATGGGCGCTCCCCAGGGAGTCAAGGTCATGGGGAGGGACAGAATCATAGTCAGTAGAGGCTGGGGGCGTGGAGAGTTGGTGCTTAATGGGGAGGCTTTATTTTTGCACTATGAAGATCTCTAGCATGGGCATGATGGTTATTCACCAGCGTGGCACATGTAGCCCTGAACCGTACCCTTAGAAATAGCTACCACGGGGCCAGCAAGGTGGCTCAGGTAAGGCACTTGAACTGAGTTTGCTCCCCAGGACCCACAGGAGAGAAATGACTCCTTCAAGTTGTTCCCTGTGGTGGTTTGAATAGGAAAGTCCCCCCATAGGCTCCTGTATTTGAACATTTTGTCCCCAGTTGTTGGTGTTGTTTGGGGAAGTTTCGGAGGTGCGGCCTCCCTGGAGGAAGCACATCACGGGACGGGAGCTTTAGCCTCACCCCATTTCTCTGCTTCCTGTGCCTGCTTGAGGATGTGCACGCTCAGTTTTCTGCTCCAGCCCCCTCCTGCCAGGCTCCCCTGTTATGATGAATTCTTTTTTTTTTTTTGGAACTTGAATTTTTTATGTACAATGAATTCTTAATCCCCTAGAACCATAAGCCCAATAAACTCTTCCTTCTACAGGTGACCTTGGCTGTCTCACAGCAACAGAAATTCACTAATACAGAAGTTGGTAACAAAAAGTGGGCTGTTGCTGTGAGGAACCTGATCGTGTTGGTTTGGTGAGGAACATGGACGATTTTGGAAGTTTGGACTGGAAAAGCAGTTGACTGCTGTAAGCAGAGCTTAATGGGCTGTTCTAA